ATAACAAAGTCTTCAGCCTCATTTTCAAATGTGGAAACTAAGGCACAGAATGGTTGAGTATTTAGCTTGAAGTAACTCAAATAGTAAGTGATAGAGGCAGAGTTCAAATGAAGGACATATGTCTCTCTTTCACCTCATGAAAAGATCTGAGGAGATATTTTTTCATGCAGATTGAATAACCTATAAGAAGAGAGAGAGGTGGGAAAAGATTGGCTTTCTTGAAAAATGATGCAGATTGGCAAGAGTAAAATATATTCAGAGTTGGTGGTGAGGGCACAACATTGGAGATAGAAGTAGGGTTATACTGTATAAGGCCTTTTAGATGATGATGATAAGTGTAATTGTCACCTCTTGGAGAGTTTTAAGAATAATAGCGATATACTATGGTTTATATTTTTAAAAAGATTACTCTGGATACTTTGAGGAGAAAAGTGATACAGGCGTGGGATGATATTGGTTTGGACCAGGATTCAGCAGAACAGGTGGCAAGATGTGATTGATTTTAAAATCTATTTTTATGTTTGTACCAGTAGGGCTTGCTCTGGATGCTGAGGGAAAATGCACAATTAAGCAAGATGACTAGGTGATTTTTTTCCTGCCTGAATAATAAGAAAAATGATAGAACCAACTTGTTAAAATGAAGACTATTAGGCTAGAAGCAGCTTTGGCCCTGAGGGTAGGGAGTGCAGGGAAATAATAAATGCTATTGGGAAGATACCAGAGAAACCAACTGGACAGCTAGCTGTTTGAATTTGGAGTGCAAGGGAGCTCATGACTGCAGATTTTGGAATCACCAGCTGGTAGCTGGTATTTAAACCCATGGGTCTGGATGAGATCACCGGGAGAATGAGAAGAGACCGAGGTCTATGCACTGGGTTTCTGGAGTGCCCCAGCATTTAGAGTGGGAGCCGGCAAGGACACAGGAAAACAGCACTGATGAGGTGGTGGATAAACAGAAGTGTTTTGTTCCAGAAGACAAGAAATTGACACCATTTCTCAAATGCTGCTGAGAAATCAGTCAGAACTGAGAACCGATACTTGTATTTAGCAAGATGGAATCTGGTGTGACTTTGATAGTGCTGGTATTAGGACTGTTGTGGGGATGAAAACATGAAAGAGGTTAAAAATAAGAAAATGAGGTAATCAATATACAATTTTCTTAGTTATTTGCTAAAGCAAAATAGAATAATAAGGCAATAATAGGAGGGGAACTTTGGGTTAAGGGATTGTGTGTGTGTGTGTGTGTGTGTGTGTGTGTGTGTGTGTGTTAAGATGAGAAGTTTTATATAATATTTAATATGATGTATTAAATTTATCTAGAAAAAAAGAGAGAAACTGATATTGTAAGAGAGAGGGGAGAAAACTGCAGAGGTAGAGTCTTTAAATGGGTGAGAAAGTACAAAGTCCAGGCCACGAGTGAAGAGCTGACCTTGGAAATGAGCAGGGAAAATCCCTTCCTTGTAACAGGGAGAGCACACAAGCAGACCTGGTGGTAGAAAAGTGAGGTGGTTTTCATTTGAGTTCTTGGGTTTTCTCTGGAACTATGAAGAGAGGTCAACAACTGAGCCTGAAGATGAGGGAATAGGTGGTAGAGATCTGATGAGGGCAAATTAGATATGCTGTCCTAGAGAATGAGAAAGTGATTTTTCTAAAGAAATGTATAAGAACTGCTAGGATGTCTGGAGGGTCTATTTGAAATCAATGGTTATAATTTTAAAGTGAGATGAGTAAGCACTTCTGTAGCCAGGTTCAGCTGCCCAGGAGCTGGCATGGAGTATGTAGGAAGGTGTTGGTTTAATCATGGTAGATCAACCAGAGATGAGGTTTGGTTGGATGAACACAAAAAAATGAGGAGGATAAAAAAATATTGAAAGTATGATAAGAACAATAGGAATATAAGCCAATATATGGAAGGGGATGGTGGGGTCATAATGAAGGGTAAAAACTCAAGGGAAATGATGGAATTCATGATGCAAGGTTCCAGTGGGGTTGACTAATTTTTGGAATGAGGTATAAGAATAAATAAGGAACACAAAGAAGAGGTGCTGATCAGAGAAGATTATACTTAACATAGAGGTTTTGGGAGAGGGGCCAATGAATGACAATGTCAAGATTTAGAGTAAGACCGGAATCCCTAAGGCAGGGAGGGAGCCCAGGAGGTGACATGCTAGATCATGAAGCAAATAAGTGTCCGAACCCAAACTAGAACACATAATTGTCATATTCCTCCTGAATGTTGTATCTCACACCAACATTAGCTTCTAATTATTTTTTGGCCTATAAAGCCAGGGTGGCTAAATGGTGGGGTATTAGAGATGCTAATATGTATAGAGGGTGGAGAGAGAGAAGGGTAGTCTCATGAGTTTGTGATCCATGCAAAGAGGGCCCTATGCGTTGAAGGGCTACCCTTGGTTTATTTTTATTTATTTATTTTTCAAACTGTAAGAGAATGTTTATTTGAAATGCCACATAGGGAGGGAGGAGGAGAGAGAGAGAGAGTGAGAGAGAGAGAGAGAGAGAGAAAGAGAGAGAGAGAGGAATGCTTTGAGAAATGAGAGGGAGGAGAAGTTTGGGAGTACTGAAGGGGGTGTCCTTGGAAAAGAAAGTGGAGTGGGGGGGGGGGGTATGCACAGGCCTGCTCCATAGAGAGAGAGCCACCCATGCTGTTTTAATGCTCTCCTGTTGCCATATTTTAATTCTTACAGTTTTTTAAACCAGAGCACCACTTTTCATTTTGTACGATGCCCCACAAATCACATAGACAGTTCTGGAGAGGAGCTTAGTAATCTTTTCACATTTGGGCAAATTTTCCATACGCTTCACTTTTCTCCATTTAGTATGCCATTAAAATTTTATCAGAGTTCATAATGTAAGTTTTAAAATACCCATCTGGCAAACACTTAACTTTCAATGTAAATTTTCTTTTAAAAGCACTCACACTCAGTATAAATTAGACAGAATGATAAATCCCTTGATGCAGGAAAGTGAAAAACCAAAAGAAAAAATATATTTAAGTATATGTCTGGAGTGTAAATTCATACTTGAATTAAAGCTTAAGAAATAAACTTTCATTTTTATTTCTTAGAATAAATGTAATATATATTTGTTATGGAAGGTTTAGGAAATAAATATAAATAAAAAGATAAAACAGAAAAATAATCCCCAAAATCCTCAACAAGACTACAACTTTTAACATTTTGGTGTGTATCTTTCTAGGCTTTATGTATATGTTTATAAATGTATATTTTGCACATATACCTTTGTGCCTATCTGATTATATTTTATGTTTTATATATATATATATATATATATATATATATATATATATATATATATATATATAATATATTTGTGCTTATTAGATTTTATTATAAACCAAAGGCCTGGTGCACATAATTCATGCATGGAGGTGGGAGAGGCAGAGGGGTCCCTCAGCCTGGCCTGCACAATCTAGGATCCCTGCAGGATTGGGACTAAACTGCCTAAACTGGCAGTCAGAGATCCATCTTCCAATCTGGGACCACTGGCTCCTAACTACTCACCTGCCTGCCTGACTGATTGCCCCTAACCACTTGCCTGTCTGCCTGATCGCCCCTAACTGCCTCTGCCTCTGCCTCAGCCTCAGCTATAGCAGCTTGGTCCAGAAGGACATTTGGAATGACATCCAGAAGGTCATTTGGCTGTCCGGTCTAATTAGCATATTATGCTTTTATTATTATAGACATACTTTTACAATTTCACTTTAATTTATAGTGAAATATATAATTAATCCTAACCTGAGGATATTTTCCCATTAATTTTTAGAGAGAAAGGAATAGAGGCTAGGAGGGGAAAGAGAGAGACATCAGTATCAGAGAGCAACATATTGATTGGTTGCCTCCTACACATGCCTTGACCAGGCTCTGGATAAAATCTGGAACCAGATAGGTGCCCTTGACCAAGAATTGACACTCTAACTATCTATCAGGGCTAGTTTAATAATATATTTAATAATACATTCTACTTACATCTCTATACTTATCATTAAATATTTTAAAATACTATTACAATTTAATATGATGTTCTATTTCTATGGACATATAACCATGTGTTATTAAACACTTGCTTTTTAATTCTTCACTATTATAAAAAATACCAATATGAATACTTTGCATATATCTGTATTATTCAATAAGTAGTTTCTAAGTAAAAAGCATGTCCATTTTAACACTATTGGTACCTTCTTCCAAACTGATACATTGATTGCACCAAATTCCAGGCCCACTCAGTGGCAGTAAATATTAACCCTCCTTTTTTTGCCAATCAGGTAAATAAAAACTACTTAGCGTCATTGTTTTCTTTGTTTATAAGTAAGATTGAACAGGTTTCTGTATGTTATTGGCCCTTTCTTTTGTGATGGATATCCTGTTAATGTTTTTTGGTCTTTTTTTTATAGGTGGTCTTTGGTCTTTCTCTTACTGTTTTGTAAAATATCTTTACATAGTAGGGTTGGGTTGCACAGAATTTTCTTAATTTTTCCAAAGCCCTGCGAAGGCTCTAACAGTATATTTTCAGAGATCTGCAGGGTTACTGTGTTTTTCTCAATATGGGTGCTTTTAAACTCCATCACTTGTTTTGTTTTTAATCTTAAAAATGCATGGTGATGGTAATTATAAAGAAAGTGTTAATATCACAGAAATAAAAAAAAACATTTTATAATGTTTCTAAAATGTATAGCAAAACAATAGGAAAAAAATACTGCACTGATTTATGGATCATTTCTATCTTTTCATTTGTTGCTCTAAAGCCTGGCAATGCAATCTATATACTGAACACTCTGGTTATTTGGTCTGTTTGTCCCCAGGCCTTCCTCTGAAAGAACTTTATTAATATTCTCATTGTGACCCCTGCTGGAAACTTCCAGGCTATAATATACAATTGTGTAATTTTGCAAGACAACCCATTAGGATGCAGAATGTGGAAAGCAAGATTGGGGCTTTGGATTATTGGATTTTTCTTACCCTCTCCAAGGTAATTTCTTCAAACTCATATTCAATTTCTGTCCCATTGACCTGTAAATAGGAACAAAAGAAAGAGAACGATTAAATATCCTGAGATGGAGACAACATTTGGGATTGGTTTCATCCTGGCTATGAATAAATCACACTTTTTTTGATATGTGATCATACCTAAATAAAATGTAATCCAAGCTATTCCAAAATATATGAGACTCTACCAAAAAATAATCAAGCTTATTGCATCCCTTAGAATTTTGCAACATTTGTGGGACAGAGAACAAAACAAATATGCATTGTGAATTGACAAAGAATAAGCTATCCAGCAGCAATGTCACAGTTGTAAGGAAAATATTTTTCCTAATGTATTTTAAAATATCTATGAATTAACAATAGTAAAAAAAATCAGCTTTACAGGCAGCACAACTACATGCCATTATTTAATCTAAAATATCATTAAGAATGACCATGTCACATAAGAAAGCCTTTCTTTATTGGTTTAAGCTCAGGTAATCCATCCCTATTATCCTCTCATTATATTTATTAGGAAGCCCTGGACCGTGTAACCATGCCCATGTACTTCAGTTGTAATGGAAAAAGAGCAGAGTAGGACATTGTCAAAATTCTTAGTGAGACACTTGATTTGAACTTAAAGAAATACATTTTAAATACAGCCAAGTAACATATAGCATAGTCTTTAGATTTCTACAGATGTGCATACAGCATATATCAGGAGTTGCTTTAAAATAATCCAACAGATATTCAATTCCCACTCTTATCTATCACAAAGTCCTTTTGAGCCAGGCAAAACTTCTCAGCAAAAACATTCTCAAATCACTACTAGTTTCTTTTTTCATATATGTGTTGGCAATGTCAGTAGCATTTAGGAATCAACAAGAAAGACTAATTTTTAATTATAAAACTGTCATTGTAGAGTTCTCATTTCATTTGACTTTCCTTTAATAAAAAAATTTAAACATAGTTTTTGCAGATTGAGAGTTTTATGGAGGCAGGGATAGGATTGTCTACCAGAGAGCCTGGCAAGAAAGAATTGATAAAACAAACAAGCAAAACAGGGAATGAATGGCTTGCTGAATGGAATGCTTCATTCATTATTTGATTTAAAAACAAAGATGAATTTGCTTCCCTGGGAATTGGAATGTAGTAACATCAACTGGAGATATAATTATAACTATAATCAACAAATACAAAAAAGAATGACAATATACTTTATTTATGTGTGTCCACCGGCCACTTAGAACATGTTTTTGATTTTCTAATTACATGAGCTAATTGGTGAATCACATTTTATTGTGTTACTACATTATCAGCAGCCCTAAACCAAATTTGATTTTCTGGGCTTCAGCAACTTAATGACTCATAGAAGAGGGCTTGATGAGGTTAGAAATCTTTCGCAACTCTATGGAGGTTTTTGTTCTTCACGTGTAAAAATACAAAACAAAACTCAAATCCCCTGTATGTGTGTATTTTCACCATATTCTCTTTGTTTGTTTTTATAACTTTGTTGAATTAACAGAGGGAGGGCAGGAAGAGAAGGCCGAATTGATGTGATACATTTTAATTCTCTCAGCAGGGCTCCTCAAAGCTTTGTTTTGTTTCAGTGCATCTCTAGAGTGAAGCCCCTTCACATTATTAAAGAACAGCAAACAGGGAATCAAAAAACAACTCCAAAGAGAAAAAAGATAAGCTCCTGATAATAAAGTCTAAAGGCTTGGGGTGAAAGAAATCTTTTTAGGTGGTGCTTAAAAGACAAATACATTTTAGTGGCATATGTTGCATGGTCATGGTCTATAAAAATCTTGGCCTAGCATTTCTATGATCATACAGGCTGAGGTATAGATCCTAGGAGCATGAGTATATGGATGTTCCCTGGTCAGCTCGATGGGCTGTTGCAGGCTTATGTTTATTTACATCACGGGTCTTCTAGTTTCAACCCAAGAAAGTGACGTCGTTTGCCTAATTCAATAGCATCCAGGATGTCTTCATATGAAGGGATAATGTCATCAGGGTTTGGATGTAACCTTGTTTTTAAAAGAAAGATCCCATGATTACAACAGAACTTAGTAAAATTTAAAGGTGTGAAGGGTTTTTGGCATAGGTGAAGCAATATTTCAACCTTTAATTGAGAAACATTTAAAACATATATTTCTAAGAGTCCAGTGTGGGAGTTCTGGAAAGACATTTAAGAGGTCCTAGTGGCCATTCTCTCATCACTAGGAGAGCATAATCTATGTTCTGCCTAAGGACCCCTAAGACAGAAAATCCTGCAACCTCCCTTGGCAAAGACCTTGGAGGAAAAAATAGGAGAAAGAAGATCTAAGAATACCTCCACTGAAGGCATTCATGAAAGTTAAGTGACTTTTCAAATGAGTACACAAATACAATATTCTTTATTCTTTACATATCTCTCCCCTCCCCCACACCCCCCCCCCTGCATTATTTAAAGGAGTGGCTCCTTATTAAGAGGTAAAGAACTAAAAGGTATGAAAAGTATTTCCGCTTAGCCATAATGTTGTGTATTCTCAACAAAGTAAAAGAACCAGCATTATCTTCTGTGGGTTTATAGACAACTGTCTGACTTGCCTGGTGATCTTACGCTGCCCCCATCAATTCATGCCTTTCAATTCACAAAGTTCTATTCCTAAAAAAAAGTTCTGCTGAATACAACTGTTTGCTGTTCTGGATCAGTAATATTTCCCCTGGTAATATTTAATGCCTAGTAATGTTTAATGCCTCTGGTAGTTTGGGGACTGGACAGCTGCATGGGGAGGTTTTCTGTTATTCCAGCTCTGAGCTCTGTCTGGGACCAACACTTCCAGTCTCCTTTCCACCTTGGGAAAAGAGAAGTGAGAGGGGCTGGCAGTTCAGTAGACAATGAGGTTCAATAAAGTAGATGGAATTTTCTAGTTTTGAAAAATCTGTTTTTTCTTCAAATACATGCTTTTGTCTGAACCGAATGGTTCTGTAGCGACAGCTGGTAGGTTTCTATGGTGGCCAGAAAAGCAAATTAATGCCACATTGTCCTGTACTGTTCTGGGCACATAGCCTTCCTGGCATCATAAGGAAGTAAAGACAAGAGAATGACCCACTCAAATTCAAACTCAGTATTTAGTTTTAATTTCATAAACTTGGAATGTTTTACATGATTCTTTCCTTTCTGACAGCCTTTATTTAATTTTACTGCCTCTCCCTCTTTTTTTTCCCCTTCAGTGATCTACCCTGTTTCCCCGAAAATAAGACAGTGTCTTATATTAATTTTTTCTCCCAAAGTTGAGCTAGGTCTTCTTTTCAGGGGATGTCTTATCTTTCCATGCGCTAGGTCTTATTTTCAGAGGATGTCTTATTTTTGGTGAAACATGGTCTGAATAATAATATAAGTTAATTTTGAGCTGTATTTTCATCTCCTAAAAAGAGGTTTTTCATGAATAACATGTTAATCATTCCACATTTAATTGCTCTTTAATTGGAATCTTAAGTAGTGATTTTTTAAATTTTTTTCTTTGTTACATTAGTAATTGTATTAAAATGAACAGCATATTAAAATCTGAGATGAATGAATTTTTATACATCTCCATATCAAATATTACAGCAAGTGCTAAAACAAATATCAAACTTCTTAAGACTAAATACAATTCTATTCAATGAATAATTATTGAGCATACATGATTTGTTACGTGATGTTAACAGAGACTGAGAGAATAAATATGTTTAAGATCTGATCTCTAGTTTTAAGAAACAGAGTTTCAAAGAGGCACCAAACACAAACACCTCATAGAAGTGCGATACAAAAGAGGTGAATTAGAGTCCCACTGTTTCCACATGCAACGTCTATACATCTCTATTTACTATTTGTTGTATCCAGTAAGTCATCACTTAACATTTTTGAGGAATTATGCAACTTTAAGCAAAAGGACATATAACATCAATTTTACCATAGGCTGATTGGTATAAATAAGAGTTAATGCTATAACGGAACAATGTTGAATAAAATATTATTTGAGGACCTTTAATATAGATTTGATTACTTAGAATTATAGTACATGGTAAATAATATACTTATTGTGCCCTTTATTATAAGTAATTATGATATAAGAAACATGCTTCATTTCTGAATCTGTTCTAGGTATTTATTCTGCAGCATCTTTGCTGCAGATATCTTTGCAGCAAACATCTTCATGGCACAATTGGCCATAAATTAATTTTGCCATAAGACAGCTCAAAGTTTGGGGTGGTTCTGGTAAGTTGGTTTTATTTTTCCATTGAGGAATCAATTAAGTAAATTTGGTAGATTTAATATATTTGTTAGTTGCTAGTTTGTTTCATTTCCCACTGAGGAAGTTCTTGCACCTTCTCCCATTTTTATATATATAAACTAGAGCCCCAGTGCACAAAATTCATGTGTGGGTAAGGCCCCTAGGCCTGGCCTGTCATCAGGGCGATCTTTCCCGGCTGCCCACAGCTGGCCTTGCCTCCTCTGCAACTCATCCCCGGTTCCCCATTTGCCATCAGAGCCTGCGGGATGGGGGAAAGACCAAGAATTCTGCTGTTCCTGCCTGCTTGCTGACTCTGACCACACCACAAGTTGCCCTCTGTGAGTGGGGCGATTAGTGGAGGTCCTTGGCCTGGGGCCACTTGTGTCCCCTGCTACCCACCCCTGGTTCCCCATTTGCCATGGGACAATCAGATCCTGCAGGCCAGGGAACGGGACCAAAAGGTAGTCAGTGCACCTCATAGTGACTGGTAGAGCGGTCATTCTGCCATTGTTGATTTACATATTACCCTTTTATTATATCCTAGCTAGGATATTAGCTAGCTCTTCCAATGGTCCATAATGTGACAAGTAGGTATGGTGGTGGTGGTCTTAAAATAGTTATAATTTCTTCAAAATGGCAATGATTTGTCCCAAGAGTTGGTTTCTCATTTTGAAATCCACTATCTTGGGAGAGAAGGAGAGGTTGAAGGCCCTCTTGAAGGGTGCAGTTTTAGTTACGCCCACATTTCTCACAGAACAAGAAATGTGCTTAGATACAATGTAC